GGTTGAAGGGTTTAGGGGTTTAGGGGTTTAGGGTTTCAGGGTTTAGGGTTTAGGGTTTAAGGGTTTAGGGTTCAAGGGTTTAAGGGCTTAAGGGTTTAGGGTTTAGGGTTAAGGGTTTAGGGTTTCGGGGCTTAGGGGTTTAGGGTTTAGGGTTTGGGTGAACTTGAAAAGTTTTAGGGCTTGGGGTATATAGGGTTTAGGGTTTAGGGTGAACTTCAAGAGCTTTAGGGCTTGGCGGTTTTGGGGTTTGAGGTTTAGGGTTTCAAAACTTTTCTAGAGCTTCGGGCTTGGGGGCATAGGGCTTCGGGCTTAGGAATTTTCTGAGTTTAGGTGTTTTGGGATACTTTTCAAACCCTAAACCCTAAACCCTAAACCCTAAACCCTAAACCCTAAACCCTAAACCTTTGGGGCGTGTGAGGGAAAGCTTCGGGCATAGATGCCTGCAGGTAAAGAGCCTATAAAGGGTTTAGGGTTTAGGGTTTAGCTTTTAGGGTTTAGGGTTTAGGGTTTAGGGTTTAGGGTTTAGGGTTTAGGGTTTACCGTCATGACCAATACCATGTCAAAAACCTGTTCGAATTGCTGAGGCCCCTGTAATACATGGTTCCTCTGACTAGAAAGCCCTTAGAACCATAATAAAACTAACATGCTCATTAATCCGTAGGTTGTATTCTAACACCTATGAGGGTGGTTCTCTAAATTAGGGTCCCTTTTTAGGTCCCAAGTATTATTATTATTGTTATTGTTATTATTATTGTTATTATTATTGTTATTATTATTGTTATTATTATTATTTATTATTATTATTATTAACGGACAGCAGTCGGTCGTTTGCATGAAGCACTCATGGGTGCACGTGAAAGATGAATGAAAAGGTCCCAAGTATAGTACGGCACCCTTATGAAAAGGACCCTAAAAGGGACCCTAATTTAGAGAACTACCTCTGAAACATAAACATAGAGAACTACCCTCATAGGTATTAGAATACGACCTACGGATTAATGAGCATGTTAGTTTTATTATGGTTCTGGGGGCTTTCTAGTCAGAGAAACCATGTATTACAGGGGCCTCAGCAATTCGAACAGGTTTTTGACATGGTATTGGTCATGACGGTAATGGTGCAACCCTAAACCCTAAACCCTAAACCCTAAACTCTAAACCCTAAACCCTAAACGCTAAACCCTAAACCCTAAACCGCCTCTCTTTCAAAGGCCTCGGCTCAAGAAAGCTCTGGCGGCCGTGGCCAGCTCCTGTTCTTGGAGGATCATGGGAGTTACTCGGTTTAGGGTTTAGGGTTTAGGGTACTACCAGTGTACCATTGGGGTGCTAGGATTTAGGACTTAGTAAGTATGGTTACAAGTATCCTAATTTGGGCTATGAGTATAATTATAAGTATGGTTGCCTTAATAATCGTCCCAGTTACTCAGTCCCATGACCCTTTAAGTAGCGATGGGGAGTTTAATGCATCAGGAGCAAAAGCCTCTGATTTAGATTAAGGGAACCGAAACAGGAAAAGGGCAAAAGGGTACTACTCGGGAACCTAGTATCCCTAAACCCTAAACCCTAAATCCTAACCCCAAACCCTCATAGGACCTTTATAGGACCCTTTTAGGACCCTTATAGGACCGTTATAGGACCCTTAAAGGGCCCAGGATCCTTCCAGAACCCCAGGGGTCGGATTGAAGCCGGGGGGGGCTGTGGGTGTCTCGGGCTTCAGGCAAGAAGGATCTTGAAAAATCCAAGGTAGGCTTCGTGGAAAGCCTTGGGTAAAACATGATCGCTTATGAAACCCTTCAGAAACGCTGTCGATCAAGAAACCCTGATTTGCAGTGTAGAAACCCCGTAGAAACCGGTTTCGGACGCCTTCAAAAACGGACCCAAGAACCCTATACAAACGCTTTCAGAGACCCCGGCGAGACCCCTACCAAAACCCCTTAAGGCTCTGTAAAGACAAGGAACAAAACCCCGCCACACCCTGTAGAAAAAGTAAACAATGAGAACTTCGCCCTAAACCCGAAACCCTAAACCCGAAACCCTAAACCCCTAAACCCTAAACCCCAAAACCCAAAACCCTAAACCCCTAAACCCTAAACCCGAAACCCTCAACCCAGCCCGCTCAAGCCCCAGAGGTCCTCGACACTCCCCGGCTGCTCCTGCCAGACCTTTTCACAGGCTTCTGGGTTTAGGGTTTAGGGTTTAGGGTTTAGGGTTTCTGGTTTCTGGTTTAGTGTTTCTCGTTTCTGGGTTGTCGGTTAAGGGCCCGGTTTAGGGTTTAGGGTTTAGGGCGTTCGATTAAGGGTTACTGTGTTTCACAGGTTTCCGGGTTTTCGGTTCAGGGTTGATGTTTTGGCTCAAGGGTGTGAAGGAGCCTGCGGTGTAGAGTTGAGGGTTTACGGGGTTTCTTTCGGGGGTTTTGGCACTGCCACTCTTGCGACCTTCGGGGTTTAGGGTTTAGGGTTTAGGGTACTGGGTCATCTCAAGGCTTGATAGCATGCTTTCAGTCGGTGTTGAAGGGTTTGCGTGTTGAGGTCAGGGCTGGGTAGAGCTTCAGGGCCATTAGGTTTACCACGACACTCTGCGGCCACGCTTTTTTACACTAGACATCAGAATACAAACGTGCGTGTGCCAGGGTTCAGGTTTAGGGCATTGAGGGCTTTCGGCTTTGAACTGTCCTGTTTCTCGAAAAGGTTCACGTTCCGGTCATGGCAGCATTGTAATATACAAGGAACTTACTCGGCTACCGAGATGACAGATAGACAAAAAAAGTGAGATCGTTGCAATCGTGATCACTCTGCAACTGTCGGTAGTCTCTTTATGGGGTCATTTGCAATGACTTGTACATGTCAGCTGCATGTGCCGATACAGACAAGTCGCTGCCGTTACATCTGAACCCTAACAACCCCTAAAACCCGAAAGCTTCAACCCCCTCTCAAACAGTCCTAAACCCGAAATTGTTCAGAAGGTCCCATGTCACGGCCTCGGAGACAACGCCCAGGGAGACGCCCTTGAAGAACTGCCTCCATGTCTTGCGAGGTCGGTTTAGGCCTTCGGGTTTAGGGTTTAGGGCGGTTTCCTTTCAGGCTTTCCATAAGGGCTCTATATCTGAAGAGACTTGATAGTTAGACTAGGGTTTTGGGATATCCAGTGGTGCAGCTGTTTTGGGACTACACGGGAATACTACTAGTGGCCATTCCGGTACTATACGAATATGAGGACCTTGTCCTTAGACAGCGTTCCGGGTCAGATAGGGGCTTCAACGTGGTAGTGCACCTCAACCCTAATGAACCACAATAGAAATCTTCCAATTCTTCCATTAAAACCCCTGTGAACCCAGTGACACACTTTGTATATCCGACTATTCAGAGTGTTACAGTGCTACATCAGAGGTACAGGCGGAAGCAGCTGGGTCATCGGTTTTGGGGGGCCCAGCACATTCAGGGCTGAGAGTTTTAGGGTCTGGGTTTTTAGGCCTTCTTCAAGTGTTATGCTTCAGGTTGGCTTAGTGGAACAAAGCCTCCGAAAAGGGTCTTACGAGATCCAAACACAAGACTCAAACAGGATTCCGCACCCTTTTGCGCCCAGTCACTGTGGCTCTGGTGCGAGCTCTTTGCTTTGGATGCTCACCTCGGCGACAACTCCAAGTGACACACTAGCTCCATAAGGTAAATTATTCAACGAGGGAGCTTGAGTGGCGCTTATCCAGGACACCCCTGCTTTGCCAAACACTCCACTCTGCGCGGGACGAGGGCTACTCCCTAAACCCTAAACCCTAAACCCTAAACCCTAAACCCTAAATACTAAGCATGAATACTGCCCTTTCTTATTGGGAGCCCGGTGAGGTATCTAAAACTTCTCCACAAACCACCATGGGAAGTGGGTTTAGGGTTTACAGGGTTTAGGGTTTATAAGGTTTAGGGTTTAGGGTTTTGGGTTTAGGGTTTTGGGTTTAGGGTTTAGGCCTCGAAACTGAAACCTTTTCCAAAGAGCCAACGAGACATCCTCAACACACCCAGAAGGTCCTGAAGACCTCGTCCCAGACGAAGTGGCGGCGACGGAGTCTTCCAGGTTCACAACGGCGTGGTACCACCCATCCTTAGGGTCTAAGGATTTTAGGAGGGTTTAGGGTTTAGGGTTTAGGGTTTACGCATCGTCAAAAGCTAGGTTTAGGGTATACCCTAAGAACCCCAAACCCACTTTTTTGTAGGTTCCTATTATCAACCCTAATATGAGATTTATAGGGACCCTACAAAAAAGTAGGTTTGGGGTTCTTAGGGTCTAAGGATTTTCGGAGGGACCCCTAATAGGGACCCTTAATCCCATTACCTTAAATAAACTTTGTATAGTCCTTATATGCCCCTTATATAGCCAGGTAGTCTCCATATTAACCCCAATAACCCACAAGGGTCCCTATTAAGGGTCCCTCCTAAAGCCCTTCCCTAAACCCTAAACCCTAAACCCTAAACCCTAAACCCTAAACCCTAAACCTGTTAAGGGTCCCTCCTAAAGCCCTTAGATAGGGTTTACAATGCTTTGCTGGGAGACCCTACACCTGAAACCCCGGAACCCGAAAAGGTAAGCCATAAACCCTAAACCCTAAACCCTATAAACCCTATAAACCCTAATCTCTAAACCCTAATCCCTATAAGCCCTAAACCCTAAACCCTATAAACCCTAAACCCTAAACCCTAAATCCCTATAAACCCTAAACCCTAAACCCTAAACCCTAAATCCCTATAAACCCTAAACGACAAATAAATAAAAAGGGATCGCTAGCCTTGGCCGAGCGTCTGGGATGTACGCCGAATCCCCGGCCTCGAGAGTGAACTCCAGGGGCCTCGCTGCGCCGAAGGACGCTTAAGGGCTTAAGGGCTTCAGTGAGCTAGGGTTTAGGGTTTAGGGTTTAGGGTTTAGGGTTTAGGCTTCAGGGTGTAAGCCTTGGGTTCTTAGGAGCTTTAGGGATTTCGGAGTTTCCGAAAATTAGGGTACCTTATGTTGGGGTCCTTATAATAAGCATCCTACTGTATCAGGGTACTATATTTGGGTCCCCTATATTCGGAAACTCCCATTTAGGATTTACGGTTCCGGGCTTTACAGTTCTAAGCTTTAGGGTGGTGGAGCAAGGCATCTGAAGCAAGTCTTTGCGTGCATGACTCTCAAGAAGCGCGAGATTTCTGGGACGAAGGTTTAAGGCCAGGCGAGTCTTTGGGTACTGGGTTGGCGCAGTTCAGGTGGTACTCAGATGAGTACGGGTTCTTAACATCAGGGGCATCGGAGTTTCCGAAAATGAGGGGTACCATATTTGGGGATCCTTGTAATAAGGATCCTACTATTTAGGGTCCTATATTAGGGTCCCCTATTGAAGCCCCCCATCTTTTGCTAACCGCGGCTGGACTCGTTCGTAACCGATCGGAGCCTTCAAGACAGAAGCCCCAAAGACTCGCGCCGCTCATTCCTCGAAGCCTCAGATCAGATCTGTAACAAAAAGGTCGGAACAAGTGGGAGTTTCCGAAAATTAGGGTACCTTAATTGGGGGTCCTTATAATACCGATCCTATTATTTAGGGTACTATATTTGGGTCCCTATTTTCGGGAAACCCGAAGTAGCCGCAGTATCCCCTTTCAATTCCGTACAGGCCTGTACTCTTCTATTCCTGCTTACAAAGGCCCCTAGATTCTGGCAACATAAAAAACCATGATATGGCCGTTCTCTAAACTAGGGTCCACAAAATAGCACGGCTCCCCTGTACAGAAGGACCCTGAAGTTTTTGAAACGGATCCTGATTTAGCCCAGAACCCTAAACCCCAAACCCCAAACCCTAAACCCTAAAAGGGACCCTGACTTACAGAACCTGCCCATGTGGCGAGGCTTAGCTTCAACACCCTAAACCCTAAACCCCAACACCCTAAACCCTAAACCCCAAAAATCCTGAACCCCAAAACCCCAAAACCCTAAAACCCTAAAACCCCAAAACCCCAAAACCCCTAAATCCCTATGCGTGGGCAAGGCTTCGCCTCGCCTTTCTGCAGGCTCCAATGTGGGATAGACCAGCTGCAGCCAGTCCTCGGCTTCATCTGAAGGCTGGGCTTAGGGTTCGGGGTTTATAGGGTTTTTAGGGTTCATAGGGCTTATAGGGTTTATAGGGTTTATAGGGTTTATAGGGTTTAGGGTTTAGGGTTTAGTCTGGGGGTTTCCGAAAATAGGGACCCTAATATAGTACCCTAAATTGATAGGATCCCTATTATAAGGACCCTGAAATCAGGTACCCTAATTTTCGGAAAGTCCCATCTGAAGCCCCCAGAGAGCCCAATACCCCAAAGGGTTTAGGGTTCAGGGGTTTAGGGTTTAGGGTACAGGGGTTTAGGCTTCATCTGAAGGCTAGGCTTCGGGTTCGGGGGTTTAGGATTTAGGGTTTAGGGTTTAGGGTTTGGGGTTTAGGGTTTAGGATTTCGGGTTTGGGGTTTAGGGTTTAGGATTTGGGGTTTAGGGATTGGGGTTTAGGGAGAGAGGGTTCCCAGCGAGCCCAATACCCCTTATTTAGGGAATATACCTTGAATTATAGGGGCCTTCATATTATGGTAGTATTATGGTTCTAGGGGCCTCAATATTATGGTCTAAAGTATATTCCTTAATTACGGGGTATTGGGCACTCTGGGCCCCCAACGATGGATGTCATACGGTTCCGGGACAACCCGAAACCTGCATTTAGCGCGGCTTCAAGGTTAGGTTATAGGGGCTGAAGAAGGATTTACGACAGCGGCTTTATAGTTTGTAAGGGTTCGGGTTTAAGGACTGAGGCCTCAGAATGAGGGCTTAGGGTTTAGGGTTTAGGGTTTAGGGTTTAGGGTTTAGGGTTTAGGGACATCCGTCGAGGAACCAAGTGAAGCATCAGCTAGAATGCCTCCTTCGACTCGGACAGTAGGAGAAGATCCCTGCAGGGTCCCTGCACCTTTACCATTTGGGCACCTACTTTGATGCATAACAGGTCCTAGCCATAAAACTGGGTAGCTAAACAAAAAATGCGGGTTTAGGGTTGGAGCTCTATGAGAGTCGCCGTATCCCTGACCTGGGAGCTCCTGATGTGAAAGTAGGGGTGGCGTGTTTTATGTCTTGGGGTTTAGTGTTTGGGGGCTTTGGGGTTTTGGGCTTATGCTTTGGGGCGTAGGGTTTAGGGTTTTGGGTTCATGGTTTGGGGTTTGGGGGGTGCTTTATCATAAAGGCCCGTGTGGGGCTGAAGCTTGTTGGGTTTAGGGTCTAGGGTTTAGGGTTTAGGGTTCAGGGGTTTAGGGTTTAAGGTTTAGGGTTTAGGGTTTAGGGTTTAGGGTTTAGGGGCAATTCCAGCCGCTCGGCCGTCAATGAAAAGCCGCCACCAGGGCCATCACCCGGTGGATAATGCCCCGGCGGATAGAGGAACCATCGCTTCCTGGCGAAGTTTAGGGTTTAGGGGTTGGGCTGTTTAGCACAGGGAAGTAGTAGCGAATGTTTTGCGGATGCGGCGATGCTAGCGAGACAGGATAGCAAACCTCGATGTAACAACTCTATTACTGCAAAAACTACTACTGCTACTACTACT